TTGTTTATTTATCAAGTTAGCTTAGCGATTAAAAAATAATGAAACAATAAAATTCTGCCTTTCAATATATTAAAGTATGAAAATAAAAGAGAATTGTTGTGTATTTTCTACCATGCACATTACACTGTACTGAAGCAACAAGTTATTTACACATATAAAGCACATAACAAAACTTAAAATATTTATTTGTATGATGATAACTTTTTTTTCCAGGCAAACATCTTACATTGAAGTATACAAAACCCTGTACTGAATGCAATCAAATGCTTTCTGTGGACAGAGTGCTATACGATCAAACTCAATGACATAGTTAAATGATTCAGACTGTAATTATGATCATACAGAAATAACCTTTAAGTAGAACAAATACAAAGCACTTAGGCAAAAGAAAGATTATTCCTATCATAATAAGATAATTGATTACTTTTGCAAAGCAAACATCTTTACACTGAGGTATAATCTTTACCATGAATCCCCTAAAAATAAAGATAAATCAATCTGTCTGGATTCATGAATATGTAGAAATAACTTTTGGGTGTTACAGATATAAAATATTAAACACTCTGGATATGAGAATTTATTGGGTATGTGGTCCTAGTTTTTAGCATATTTAATGCTGACCCAGCGATTTATGGTTTTGTTATCAACCAACATTGATACACTCTAGATTTGAGAATCTAGTCTAGGGCCAAACCGAACTAACCATCCTTAACCACCATAAATACAAAATATAGAACACCATTTAATTTTTATCTGTCATTGAATTTTTTACCTAACATATAACCAAAGATAAATACCCATACTTAAGTATGTACTTGTAATGAATATAATCAAATGCCAATAAGTAGTATTGCATGACAATGCTCAAGGTCAGTAAGGGCAAATGATTTTTTGTTAATTATGATCCTACAGAATTAACTTTTAAGTGCAAGTATAAAATATCGATTGTTTTTGCAAGGCAAAAAATCTTCACACTGGTATAACGTAACATGAATACTCATAGATAATTACATACTTGTATTGAGTATAGACAAAAACCAGTAAGTAGTACTGTATGATCATACTCAAGGACAATAAAAATGATTCTGGGTTAATTATGAACATCATTAACGTTTGAGTTAAATATAAAATCAAAGTTTGTTTTTATAAGGCAAAAATCTTAAAAACTCGTACTAAAGTACACTGGACTGAATGTTTCAAGCATATTTTATGTAAGTGGTATTGTATGATTATATTCCTGGACAAGACATGAGTATCAGTAGTTATAATCAAATAGTAGGTATATTTATCTAATTACAGACAAATACAACCATGTTTTTTTAATAAATATAATACATGCTTTATTGTGTTTAGAGTGAGTTTGAAGTGTAAATAACTTACCCTGATAGGTCGAACAAGCCTCAATGATTCTCTCCTCCTCACCCTGAACTGAAAATCGTTGACATTTCTGACAAAAGCGTTTTCCTTGGACGCGCTGGCCGGCATCGACTTCCGGAAAACTTTTCTCGGTCCCATTTTTGAGAAGAAAAACTTGAAAACTTTACGTCAACGAGTGGGAAAAAACAAAACAGGTTTCTTAAAGAAAACGGTTGCAACTTGACAATACGATTTGAATTCGTAAGGTCCATAGAGGCCGCCACGGACTTAACGGTCGGTCACACGCGAGCGCTGATGGCGAGGTTTGGAGAAACTAGTGGGTCTGGGACGGCGCGCCGTAGGGCCAAAACGCCGAAAAAGCAGAAAAAAGTCAGTAACACCCAAGCTCTTTGAGGTACGTTCCCCAAATTGTGTATGTTTAGGTTTTGTCGTACAATGAATTCAAAGAAATTTTTTTCAAATCGATTGGACCACGGCAAACCGTCCAAAATTGTGATCCAAGAAACAAAAATGGAACAGATATCACCATTAATAATCATGGGTATCGTTTTCTATGGTTTCTATACGCTTAATTCAATGAAACTGTTCTCGAATCGATTGGGCCACGGGAAATGCCCAAAATTGTGATCCACAAACCAAAAATGGAATAATATCACCAATAGCAATAATCACATCTCAGTAAGACTACATTGCTTACGATATTGCCATTGCGCAAGGTTCGTAAATATCACTAATAATCATCATTGGGATCGTTTTCTATGTTTTTCTATACGCTGAATTCAATGAAACTGTTCTCGAATAGAATTGGACCACAGAAATCGTCCTAAATTATGGACGGTAAACGAATAACTGCTACAGGTTGTAAAAAATAATCGGGCGTATTTTCTCAGATGGACTCGCCCACAATTACTCACACTGTTGAAACACAAAGAAATTAAGTCGTTTTTTTTTTTTTTTTTTTTTTTTTTTTTATAGATATACCTTTTTATTAAAGAAAACATTTCATGACACGATTACTGATATCTGATTCGGATTCTATGCTGTCACAGATTTTAGGCTAAACAGCTCTATTTAAAACAGGGTTGCAATCTGATAGGCAGGAATAGGCAGCTGAAAACCACAAAGGTAGTACTTCAATGTGTATAGAAGAGAAAAAAAAAGTGACAAAGCAAAAAACAACGAAACTTTTTTTGAATGTCTAAAAAACCGAATATTCCTCTAATACTGTTTTTTCTTTCAACTAAGCCACCTGATTCATGACAACAATGAATTTTTATCTTTATCTCATACTTGGGTGTGTACGTAAAAGGAAATTAGGGTGAACCGGGGAATGAGTTTTTACAACGAACCGCCTGGAGGGGGGTAATGTTCAGAAAATTGCTGTATATCTTGCAAAATGAATAATTTTCAGGTTCAGCATTGATTACTATGTTTGATTAATTTTTAACCGTCAAATTATTATTACATCCTTATTCTGGGGGTTAACTACTGTAAGAAATGTAAATTGGATTATTAAAATTCAAGTATAGGAAACCGATTTTTTGCCGCCTTTGCCACACTGTGCGGCGCGGGAGGTTCTCCTCACGTTTATATTGTTAAAAGATGGATTGACCTTGTGTAGATTTGTATGTGTGATAATCAGGTATTATGTTACAGAAACCTAGAAACTCCCATGAAATTTCATTTTTTTAAAACTTTTATTTATTTATTAATCTTTTTATGTAAGGTCTTGGTCGAAATGAAAAAGTCAGTACCACGAGCGGGATTTGAACATGACCTTCGGCTCAATACGCCGCTGCTCTAACCCGTTCGTGACACTACTAACTTTTCATTTCGATCTTCCATAAGAAGAATAATTAATTGAAAAAAGTAATTTGGTCAATCAGATTACTAAATATAATGGGTTTATTTATTAAATTAACCACATTGGTGAAATAATTGATCTATTATTGTTTTTAGTATTTTTGATATTTTAATTGTTGTTTTTATATGTTATTTAATATTAAGAATTTACAAATATCTACATGTGTACCTGATAAAGAAATTGTAAACTAACTTAGCCCTGAAGATGTTTACAAATTAAACGAAAGCTTGCAATGAAGTTGGGAGTTTCCATGTTTCTGCAATCTACCTCACATTTATGTTTTTGTAACCAATAAACGCGAATTTTTTCGGAATTTTAACTCGTGATCCGGTGATGTTTACGTTCCGTCCTCTCCGCCCGACACATTTCCTTGTTATCGTACGAATTGTTTACGTTTTGCGAATCGTTTAAAAATTCTATTTTTCTTCTTTTTTATTTCTCGCGATTATCGTGGCGAAATCACCTGTTGGTCCCTCCGAGAAAAAGAGGGCCGCCCTTGTCACCCCCTCGTTTGACTACTCCTGGAGCTTCGAGGATCGCCCGGAAGGTGAGTGTTCTTTATTTTATTCTCCTTTTATTTTGAATTTTTCGAAATTTGTTTTTCTAAAGAATACAGACCGCTTGTTCGTTAACATTAACATCGATATAAACTTTAATTGTACACTCTGGTACATTTAGTTCAAATATTAGCTTCATAACGCGGCGTTATAAAGGGGGGTTAAAAAAGGGTTATTTAACACATTATTTTGAGTATACATATTTCTTTTACCAGATAGGAGCCCGTATATAAATTAAATGAACACAATTAAATGTTTGATGTGTTGTTAAATGTCTGTAAACTGCTCAAAAATGATAGAGATATTGCCAACTTTAAAGTATTTACTTTCCCTTGCATTTTTATTACAAATTGCATTAAAATTTAATAAAAAAATATGTTTTCTACTGAAGGAAAATTTAATTAAGGGATTTTGACAAATAACAAAATAAAAGGTTAATTAAATTAAAAGTAAATACCAATTAGGGTTTGATCTTCTATTGATATGTTTGTACATAGAAAATAAAAAAAGCTTTCTTCAAAAATTAGATTATAGAATTTTTGACATAAGTTTTGACGTTGAAAAAGTTGACAGATTTGGTTTTTTTATAGTGTGTATTCCGATATAAATATGTTGTTAGTGATCGGTGATGATAGAATCATAAAATTGTGTTTAGTACTAAGGCTTATTCTGATACATATGTCGCTCTAGTCATTCCTATGTGAATGTATCACATGTACCCAAAAATAACGTGTAATTTTCGTCATTCGTTTTTGTGTTTTGTTGAACTTTGAATAACTCAATTTAAGACATCAGATTGCTTGCATCCAACCGAGTGGAATTAATAAATGTTGGATACTTCGTAACGGTTCATCTATGCAAAAATCATCGGGGAAGGGAAAGTAAAGATACATAATTGCAAAAATATTTTGACTTTAATCAAAGTTCTATAAAGAAACGTATTTTTTATCATCGATTCTTACTTGTTTACATGATATCTTAGTCAAAAGTCAAACTTCCAGATAAACGGCCCAAAATGTAATAGAGGGATATTGTCTATTTTGTAATATTTACTTTCCCAGCATTTTTATTTTATTTTTATTATAAATTGCATTAAAATATATTAGAAATTATTGTTTTTTTACTGAAGGAAAAATTAATTAAGGGATTTCGAAGATAACAAAATCAAAGTTTTTAATTCCATAATTAGGTTTATTGGATACAATAAGTTTTTTGTAAACAATTAATGCCGTGTATAATGTTTTCTCTTAGCAAAAACCTCTTTTGGCGTATTGTTAATAAGGTTGTCACTTGTGAAATTAGTATTTCATAAGGAATTCCACTTCACGGAGGTTGCAACGCTGCACACAGTTGTTGCAGGTCAACTGGCTTCGGATGGTGATCTTAAAGCCTTCTCTGCAACTCATCCCACATGTGCTCATTGCGAATGAGGTCTGGAGACAATGGGGAAAGGCAGATGATAAATTCCCAGGCTTTCTAAACATTGATGAACAACTCTGCCTCTATGTGATATGGCATTGTCATACAGAAATCGAAAATTCCTGCCAATGAAATCCCTGGTTTGAGGGTTGTATTCCACGATAATTTCCTGGAGATAACGGTCTGCGGTGAGGTTGCCTTCATCAATATGAAGTCCAGTTCGTCTTCCAGTCTAAATCCGAGCCCAGACCGTTACACCGCCTCCTCCAAACTGCTCTGAAGGCAGCACGAACTGGGACATTGTACGCTTTCCCTGTTCTGGGTATAATCCATAAATTAGATTTGAGGGTTTAGCTTCGTTTACATGACAAGCACCTGCGAAAATAAAACAACTTTGCAAAACCTGAAGTTTGCACCAACCCAATATTTTTGTTTTGAATTTCATTGCATTAAAATCATTGCAATACTTGAATATACTATGTTTTTAGTGATTCCATTTGGCATATATACAAGCAACAAATCCCTTGGTTTTCTGGAGTATGCGATGTATAATTGTCCATGAGAAAACCATGGCTTCTCCAAATTCAATCCACACAATAGCGGATTCGTTGAACATTGCTGCAAATGCAAATTGCAATCGTTAAAATTGGGAAGGTACTTTTGTTGGTATGTTTGGTTGTTATATTAGCATTAGCCTTTGAATTCTAGTAAGATTATTAATATTATTCTATTAACAATTCTACAACAGAGAGCCAAAAAGTTGGAACGTACCATTAAACATTATTAGGCGTACTCACAAAACATCACTTCATTATATAGCATCTCTAGTAATACCGAAAAATAAGACACAACCAAAACATTTAAAAAAACTAAACATATGGAACTTTGCAATTTTTAACTTTATAAAAGTCAGAATGTTAAAAAATGTAATTGCCAAAATAGCAGTACTATCGCAATTCATTTAAACCTGTGATCTGTAAAAAAATGTTGGTACTATTTTACATAATTTATAATTGTTCATACATACATTTTCTTATTTGAATTAAAATTGGTTCTTCGATGACATTGTTTTATCTTTTGACTGCCAATCTGGTACCATTGAAAGAAGGGTTCGATGTTACTAAGAAGAATGATAGGAACACCAACCTTCATGATGTGTGATTTTAATCCAGATAAATCAAGTGAATTTAAGAATTCAGTTGCATAATTTATCACTTCCTCCTTATATATGCTCAAATCCGCAGATGTTTGTGCATAAACACACACATGTTCAGAGTTGAGCCTACACTTCTCGCAGTCCACTAGCAATTCCAGTTTGTAATTTACAGTAAATTGCCAGGCCTCGAGAATCACCCACCGTGATTTGGCTCGGGGAGCTGCAAACAGCTACGTCATTTCATCTCACAACGCAATCAATTCCTAAAACAACTATTCACACATTAATTAGCTGCCAAAGAGCTATTGGACCTATAAAATAATTAGTTTCTAACTATTGACCAATTTTGTAGATTTGGTTTACAAACAATAAAATATCGAGGATAAACTATTTTTCGTTTGCCCAAGTGCAGAAAATATGCATTTACGCATGAAGAGGCAGACGGATATGATTTGCAAGCGGATAAGCGGAATTTTTATTTTTCTTAGTCCTAATTATGACTTTATATAGTCATAGTTATATAGACTTTTATATTTCGAACAGTTTTAGTTCTTTGCTTATTTAATGGAATAACCTCTTAAGAATAGGACGGTCATGCATTTCGTCTTTTTCTCTCTATCATCAGAAACAACAAAAGCGATCACTCCGAACTCTCGTGTGTGACAAAATTGTGATATTTAGTTAATTACAGATGCCACAGAATCTGTGCACAGGAACAGTTACTATTATTACTACTATTGAGGTCTATTGTGGTGGTGTAGTTTGGTCAGCCCTGGTGGACCTGGACGGTCAGACCGACTAAACTACGAGTTTAAATTGTTAGACAGTAGTTAAAACTAGAAACAACATCGGTCCAAATGAATTCAATCGTTTCACACTAGAATGAAACAACGACTGTTTTATATTTTGTTAGTTGTTTTGTTCCTGCTGAATATCCTTCTGATGGTTGCCCAACGCTTTCGGTTATCGGGGATCGTCTGGTTGCCTTCTGTGACCGTCGTGATGTTGACAGGTGCGATTTCCACGTCGACTGCCGGCGACGGTGTTGTATCCGGGCATAACAGGTTCTTCTCAGAAACATTTTTCGAAAATAGTTTTTCTTCCTTTTCTTTGGGCAACGCGTCATATATTATTTTAGAGAACTCGATTATGTCAGCCTCAGAGCTAGTGTGGACAATTTCTAGGTCAATAACTTCGTCCTGAAAACAGAGTTATAATAGTTTTTGGTGTAGTTAATTTTAGATGAATTTTGCTCACGGCCAGCTCGATTTCCGGCCTAATGAAATTCTCCAGTTTCATTTCTCTAATTTCGTCGAGGGCTTCTTTCGCTTCGTCGAGAAGCCTGATGGCGTCTTCTTCGGTTGGCTGCGGTACAGATACCGACTTTTCAGAAAATATTGCTTCAGACATTTTTCCCTTAGCAAAAGGAAAAAAACACAATTTAGAGACAAATATAACGTTTTGCACATATTTTTATAATGAATATTAAATAATGGTGCAATTGAAAACTTAAACACAAATGAGAATGAAAGTGACTGGGTAAAATTATATAAAAAAAAAAAAAAAATGGTAGTTTACATAACAAAACTGCATAATATTTAAAGAAATAGCATAACGTAAATGTAGCTGATAAACATACATTTTGTAATCTAAGCATTAAGTAATGAAAAATGTGTCATTACTCGTACTTGTAACTGACGATGTTAAAGGAACGGCTCCAAACCCGACAAGGGTACGGGACGGGAGCTGGGGTCTTTGGGATAAACCCCAAGACTAAACCTAAAGCTAAACCTAGGCAAGTATGCTACAGTTTTCCAGTCTGAAATCATTGCGATAGGAGAATGTGCCAGAAAAATAAAAAGGCTAGGAATAATTTCCGGAAGATAGCCATTTTCTCTGACAGCCAGGCAACTCTCAGGGCCTTAGCCTCATGCGAGGCGAAGGCAAAGAGTGTTTGGAAATGTATGGAGGCCCTGACGGAAGTTAGCGACACTAATGACCTGACTCTGGCATCGATCCCTGGACATTCGGCGCATAGAGGCAACGAAAAGGTTAACATGTTGGCCAAAAAGGGAGCCAACATGAACTCTATGGGCCCAGAACCCTACTGCGGCCTAGCGGCTTGCCACAAAAAAGGATACATCACAAAATGGATCCTTAATGAGTCCAAAACGTGGTGCAACAATACCACAGGTATGAGGCACGCGAAGAGATTCGTGAAACTTACAAAAGAATACTGGAAGGCAACCGCAACCTAACCAGGATTTTCTGGTTGGACTCCTGACAGGGCACTGCCACTTAAGAAAGCACATGCACCGAATAGGAGTATAGACATAAGAAACACTGTGCAGATACTGCCAGGAAGAGGGGGAGACCGCAGAACACATTTTATGTTTCTGTGAAGGTCTATATAGGTGCAGGTTCTGGCAACTAAGGCAAGAAAAACCACAAGCAAGATCCTACACCTAGGAACCGCTGGCAAAGCTACGGAGGCTGGTTAATAGCCTGAAGCTGGCAAGTGAGTTATAAACAACAGAAGATCTATTCAGGTCGAGGTGCAGTCCGCCTCTTTTATCCCTACCCCCTATCCTCTATATTAAAAAAAACAGGACATGACGAGCTGACTAATAAATTAATAAATAGAAGTTATTACTTGTTCACATAACCACAGTGATGATACATATGGAATGAAAAAAAATGACAGGCTGACTAATACAGTCAAAAAATATGTAACGCGGCATTTTCGTGTGCATATTTTGTTATTTAATCCAAATAAACTGTAATTTAAATTTATTTTTTACAAATTCAATAATAAAATAGTACTAACAATTTTTTTGGTGAAATAATCTAATAAGGAAACAAATTTTTTCATAATAGTTAACCTTTTTGCAAAACTAATCATCTTTTGCAACGAAAGATGATACAAATCGTGAGTAGGAAATAATATAAAATACAATAAAGTTTATTTTATTTTTTAATAAATTTTAATACCTGCAGTCAATTTTAACATATGTAGTCACATATTTATTCATCTCATAAAAGGAAAGAAAATAAAATCTGGTTAGAAGAAATGGTTGCTACTTGGTAAAAAAAATGCATGAATGCAGAAGATACATGATTAATGTTGTCAGGAAGTTGTGGATATGAAGCTGTAGAAAAGCTCGTCGACCATTTTGAAAGTCTTTTATTTGGATTTGTCAACAATTGAAATCAACTATCTTTGGGTAAATCAATGAGGAGACAATCTGTAGTGTTATGAGCCATTATTAAATCGATATAAATAAATAAAAATTAATAAAATTCACCTTAAACGTGCGAGAAGTTGTCTTTGAATTCCTACTTCGACAGGATTACTTTTTTGTGTTAGAAACTATAAAATGACGTGATTTATGTGTGTCTTGTTAATCGTGAACATAATCCTTGATTTTTTTACCAACTCAAGAGGTGACTCAACCCCTTTGCAAACCCCATGTGATGTATTGCGTTTCATTTGTTTATTTTCAAGTCGTCAAAAGTTTTAATTTTCAAGGATTATTTTTTGTTACTTTTGACGTTACATTATCGTCCTTCTTAATAACAAGTTAGATTATTTTTGTATTACAATCTGGCACATTTTAAGATTGTTCAGAGTGGAATGTGCGACTTATCCATTTCAATACATTTCAAAAGACTATCCAATTCGTTGGATTATCATAAGGGAACACGGAACTTCAGTTTAGAAAGTGAAGTTTATTAACTGTTTTGAAAATCAAGTATGAACAACTAATATAAATCAAAAAGGTTCAGCACTTCAGCAGTTTGTGGAATTTATAATATCGTCGGCGCTTAATAAATAGGAATTCAACTTTTTTCATTAATCATGTTAACTATGGAGTTGTCTGTCAAGTTTTCATGGGATAAGGGAAATTTTACTTACATCGATCTATTTTTCACGTTAAGTTTAACAAAATTTGCGCCATTTCTAACCGAACACAAGCCACAACAGAATCACTTTTTTTACGCTGTCAGCTTTTACAACGTGGGGTTTGACTAAGGGGTAGAAAATGAACAAGGTTCAACCAAGGTTCTGACTTAACCTACTTAGCCACAACGGTTAAATTTATTCGAAAACTGTTTATTCCGTCGGAAGAAAACATCCTTACAATAGCAAGAGAAAAAGTAACAACCACGAACAAAAAACTAAAATGATATAATCGAGGCTTTTGAGCGAACTGTGTCACAAAAAAAATTGAAGCTGGATTAACTTCTATTATTATTAAATTTAATTTCTATTTAATCATATATCTAAATGATTAAATTCTATTTTATTTAGTTTATTTCTATAATATTATGATATTGCTGAGCTAACACGTTTTTTAAAAATCTTGATCATGTGATATGTATGCATTAAAAAATATACTTGAGTTAGAATAGAAGGCTTTTTAAATCAAATAATTTACAGAAAACAATTCAGAAAACACCCTTATTGATTTCAATGGTTATTAGTAGTTAATTGGACAGAAATGATAACAGTATTAACAAATAAAACTCATAAATTTAATCTCAACTAAATATAATCTTTTATAAATTACAATGTTACAAAATTTACGATTATAATAACATTTTGGAAATACATTATTGTAAATAAATATATGGGTTGTTGCAAGATTGACATTTAAAGCAACAGGCTTCTAATAAGAACTCACAAGAATGAACCCATCTGCAACGAGAAGAAGAAGAATCTTCTTGAAATAAGTATAACACAAAGAGCAGAGGTTTTTTGTAAAATTTACGACTGTTGCAACCAGGGGAAGTAATAAAATTCTTAAAAGTAGAAAAATTATATACTACGCTGATAAGTAGTGCACTGGTAGAATAAAATGGGGCGTCAGTGGCCGAAATGGTTATAGCGTTGACACTGCGCTCATCGCTGTAAGGTAAAAGCCTCGGGTTCGATTCCAGCGGCCCTGATTCGAATCCGACATACTTGCTAATGGGATTTTTTCAAAACACTACAACCTCGTAAAAAAAGAGGAAAAAATAGAATGGAATGATATTGCAAGACACAATTGATAGTAGTTTCACATGTGAAGCCACTAGGAAATCTCGATTCATGACTTATTAATTGAACATGCTCCAAGTACCATTAACCCTCAAGACAAACAAATTATTCCATTATGTACAAAAAGGACATACTTGAAAAACTTAGAAAAATACAAATACAACTGGAAAAACTAATAGAAATAGTTAAGGTGGAGTGTGTATATAAATTCGTTGGTTGAAAAATTCAAGAACGTATAAATCAACAATTCAAACAGTTTTTAAAATATAATATATAGCTGTGTGCACATATTACAATATTACTGCACATATTAGACAGAGTATTTAAATTGATTAGAATAACGTTTAGAAGAGGGAACAGGGTCAGAAATTCCAGCAGCAGTGGGAATCGAACCCACGACAATGGGGTCTAAAGAGCCGTAAGTCTGACGTGAAACTGTGTTTGTTACTTCTTAACAACAAATTGAACACGGAAATTGTAAGAAATAAACGAAGATAAATAAAAAATTCGTAAGCAAATTAATAACTTTTAAATTATAAAATGGAATGCTGATTCTTGGTTTAAATTAATGGTCTTAAATATAATTATGACAAATTGCGAATAAAGGTAAACATTAGCAAATAATAAATGACTCTTATCGAAACGTAGTTTCCTCTTTAATAATATTTTCTTACTGTCAGAAATAATTATACATTAATTAATGAGTAATTATATTCATTAAACTCAACATAATTGATCTTTCTGAAACACCTTTAAATTAATATCATTACATTTAGAGCAGACAAAAATAAAATAGTCGAAATATTATTTTTCTCGATATGTAAAATATTTACTGCGTTCAGAGCGTCAAAATATTACTCGAACTGTTATTACTCTTAAAAATATAATTATAGCTCTTCCCCACGGTTTTGAAGTGCACTTTTGAAAATGGGTGAAAATTATAGTTGAATCTCCTAAAAGTTTGTTCTGTGTGGCAGTGTTCCAAGAATCTTTTTTTCGGTTAGTACGTTTGTGTTGGAGTCAAATTAAAATACAGATATGCACTAAAATTTCTACCACCCGTTACAAGATTTAGTGTTGTTACATGGAAATGATAACCGTCGGCTTTAGAAAACTAATGAACTTACTTTGTTACCCTTTCTGTAGAACCGTTTAATACAATGTCCTCTACTTGCTAAAGGATCCGAGAAGTGATTTAACGTCTTTTGCCAGCCGACTAATTACAATGGGGAATGGGAGGACGGGCGGAGTTCCCGGTAAGTTCCCAAAAACATGAAATATGTAATACCGGAGACTAGGATAATTCATAAGAAACTTCACCTAGGTAACATTTTTGGACGGCGTTGGTTGGTCGGAAATGTTGGTGGGGGCGGTGGAAGGCTGACTCCACCTAACCCGTTCTACGTTTAGTCCGCTCCCAACTCTCGACCGAGTCCCACCGTTCGACAGACGAAGGAAAAACCAACGCGAATCGTCACGATTTTCAAAAAGTCATTTTATTCCGACATATGTCATTTGTCCCTTTGGAAAATACGCACTGAATATTTTTTAGACCATCCGAGATAAAATAGGATTTTCTTTTGTGGAATGTAAATAAAATCTTTCAAGCTGGGTACAGGAAGAGGCGAGGGCCTGGCCCAGGGTCAGGTCACCGATCCAAAAGCGGTCCAAGCCATAGCCCATCTTCTGGTGGGCATGAACAACACGGTGGACTTGTCGAAGCCGCATTTGAGAACTTCGGTCAAGACCATCTACCCCCTGTTCGTTTTCCTCTACGCCCTCCTCGTCACGACGGGAGTGGTCGCAAATTTGGCCATGATCTTCAGCATCATCAAAGACAAACTCTACCGCGACCAGACGTATTGCTATCTCATAAACATGGCCATCGCAAACATAGTCGAGGGCGTTTTCGTTCTCCCCATCTCCCTCACCATCCTTCTCGTACAAAACTGGATCTTCGGTAGTTTTCTCTGCTACTTTCTTCCCATGCTACAGGTAAGGTATCTCACGCCTATCAATCATGCTATGCTCAATAACGTATACGTGTTCATCGATTCGACGATAATTTGAACGTTCGGTCATCTCAGCTATTAGATAATTCGAACATCTCAAACTTGGCAATTTAGTACAATTATATATTTTATCCGAGAGAACAAATCAACAATATTGCATCCATTAGGAAGAAAAGTTTATTAAAAAATAAATAACTTCTTCTTTCTCTTAAGTTATACATACATCAGGCATCAATGGCTACCGCCTTCCTTTAATATCGACCGTCCTCCAATTATAGATCACGTTTAAATTTTGAAAAATAAATAGATGAATTGTCAACGTTTAATATGATATTTTTTTTAAACAATCTGTGTATGAATGTACATTCGGGAACTTCAGTGACTTAACTGGATGGCAATATGTTTTTTGAATCATTCTATTAGCATAGCGACTTGCTTGAAAATTAGCGGTTTCTTAATCTACTTGGGTCTGACCAATTTTTATACAATAGTTTTCATTTTATGAACAATAAGCCTGTTTTAAGTGATAGATATTTCGACTAATTTTTTAATCAAGAATATTCTCGATCACACCGTATGGTCTTGACGAAAAAGCAAATTAAATTGTTACTGCCAAGCTTTCGTCCTATTTTAAGGTCATCAACAGGCAAAACAATCTTAAATTTGTTTACATGTTTTTAATAAACGATGCTAAATCTCTTTGAAGAACGATTCAGTCCCAACATTACCAAGGACTGTACAATATCTTTATAGTCCTTGGCATTGTTCGGATGTATTCTTCAAATAAATTTGAAATCGTATATTAAAAAAAAAAAAATTATGTCACTTTTTTGGCATATTTAAGTCGGTTTTGCCCTGATGGTGACATTAAAATAAATCTAAAGCTTGACAAACAACTGAATTTACTTTTTCTTCAAGACTATATCGTGATGGAGATTATTCGTGGCCAACTAAGCCTAACAAGGACAAAGAAACTATGTAAAAACGCGGATTTATCATCTTTGAGAAGATACAACTGGAATAATAAAAATTTCCAGGGTCAGATCTATTTCGAAAGTAGTGAGGACTGTGGACGAAACTGATGGAAGCCTCTTAATATCGTATATGTGCGAATGGATCAACTCTTACTTAATGGGTCCCTCCTTGTTTCAATATTTGGTTTGAGTTTCGGCTGATCCCACGGTTCCCTCAAGGACACCAGTCAATTTTAGGAGTTTCATTTCAAAAACCTCTATTATATCTCGTGTGTTTTTTAACAACTCACCATTTAAAAGACCTATAGGACTGCAATAACAAATCAAGCATGTTACAAAATTTGTAAGCATCTTTTGTAAAAATTAATCTGGGGATCGCTCGGTATCAGGCGTACATATATATACTCCATTTTGAAAATTTTGTGCGGCGTAAAATCTCTATAAATCCCTTTATGAAGTACAATTGAATATCGAAAACCAAAAATCGGATTTAATTTAAAAAAACTTAAAGGATCCTAGAAGATAAATATAATTGCAATTTTCGTAATATAAGTTTTGTAATACTTTTTGCTCCATCGTTGGCATTAAACAGATAATATACAGCCATATAGTTGTGACAACGAAGCAGGTGCTTTTGCGTTTACTTATCGCCGATCAATCGATTTCTTGAGTAAAAATTACCTCCAGGATTTCAATCATTGGGATCAACGGAGTTTAATAAACCATCGTGCAAAGGCCTTTGTGCGTTCGAATATCAAACGTTAATGAATAAAATTTATGGTGAGTTAACTTGGTTTCCCCGGGGGGGTTAAAATGGCCGGCGAGGGTTAACTTGACCTCGGTTCGGCTGTATTTCACACCCAAAATAGGACTTTTCCTATCCCATACTCGAAGAGAAATTATTAAACGAGGAGAAAAAGTACTTCACGCAACTCTTCCTTTTTATTCCGGTTCGGTGAGGATATTGAAAGTGTAGTTTTCTTAAATAGAGGCCCCCCCTCGGCAACTTAACTGAATTAAAAGCATAAAAAATAATGGTGCTACACGGTATCATCATAATACACCACATCAAGGGCATTAAAAAAATCGTTTAAAATAAATTCCAAAAGTATAGTAATTTTCAACATTTTATCGGTTTTTTATAGCTTAAAAATATATTAATAAATACATAGTTAATTTTTTGATAAAGATATTTTTCGTTGATAATGCTATCAGGATACTTCAAAAACAATAAAATTTTGAAATTTCACATGGCAATGTAATAGACCACTGTTTTCAAAGATTTTTCACTGAAAATCATGGCGCAATCAGATTTTAAATTTGTCAAAGAATAACAAAGTTATTGCATTAGATGTGAAAAGAAATATCTTTATTTTGGTATTGTTTGTTATTATTATTTTTAATAAGTAATTTGTAAATATTAATAAAAATTCTGTACTTTTTTTTTAAATAGGTCATTATTAACACTTATGTCGCGGGTGAAACATAAAATCACAATACATGGCAAAAATGAGATAACATAACGTTCTAATAGAGCGAGAACCGATTGAACTGAATTTCTTGGGATGATGTTCAAGAGTGTGCTAGTAGTGGGTACGCCCGTTTTTAGGTAATAAACGGTTGCAATTTAAAAAAAAGTACTTTACTTGTTTCGAACATCAACAAGAACAAACCTGTTCGAAAGACCAACCAATATCATTCCAAATAATTCTCAAAGGAGACTAGCACCAAAACAGCAAATGAAAATACTTCATAATAAAAACGACATTAAGATAGTTCTTTTCACATTCTATGCCACAACCTTGTTATTATTTTCATTCTTTGGCCAATTTAAAATCTGAATGCACTCTCGTTTTCAGGATAAATGTTTTTTAAAAACAGTTGGTAAAAAGTATACGTTCTTTTTTAAAATCTCAAAGTTGTACTGGCTCTGAAGTGCCCTGCCAACAAATATTTTGACAAAACTTTAAAACTAGACTAAAAACTATTAAATACTAATATAGACAAACGACAAAAAAATATTCACCCATTGACTGTTGAGGAGTTGTAGATTAAACGAACAGCTCCCAATGAGGAGCAGCTGGGTTGAAATTGAATTTTCTCTTGCCCACTACCTTATCTTTGAAAGCCAAGAAAGTACTGTTATGTGGAAATGTGGCTCTTCGTCTTTGTCGGAGGAAGATTTACCCTTTGCTAAAATTACGAAATTTAAAAAAAATCTTTTAATCTAGTACTTACAATTTCTTTGTAAGGAACTATAAAAATCTCACTATTTACGAAGGCACTATTTTTTAATTTTTACGATTCATAAAAAGTCGCATACAATGCAATGCGAATTTTTCTGTTTAAAATTTGCCTTATGATTAATAATTTAGAGCACAAGTGCCAAACGTTGTAAATACTCATAAGTTCTGACTATCTTTATAATACCAGAAGCCATAAAATTGATATAATAAAACTGTCATATCATGAAAACTAAGAAGAATATATAAAAATATCAAGAAAGAAACAACAAATTGGAGTATGATTCTATCTTATAGCAGCCCTGTGAGGGATCCGCGGCAAAAGCCGTAATGAAGTGGCATTAAATAATTTTTAGAAAAATGTATAAATAAATAAAAAATTGGCAATAAATAAGAAAATGACTGATTTTGTCAGTTTAGTTGTTTTTACGAGTTTAATAATGATATATAAATGGTTCAAATTGGTCAGGTATGTTGCTCAACTCAAAGAGACTAAGGTTGTAGGATTTTTAATTTTCTGAATGTATATTTCTAAAAAAATGTTGTGGCCTAGTAATGGGATTGCAACGATCAAAACAAAAAAATATTCTGTTTAAAATTTGAAATGACTTTTTAAGAGGTAGTAAGTATTGTCAGATAAAACTTGGCATGTGCTTAGTGCACCTTATTGATCTGTCTTAATCAATAGAGCCGTTAATATTTTGTGTTCACCCATATAAAACGTCCGTTTTTGGGTAATATAACACTTTGAAGAGGGCTAACGCTTTCTCACTGAAATGTTTACAATCTGCTGTAAACACTTGTTAATTATCTATTGAATATCAATTTTTTAATTCAAGATATTCAAATTTCAATTTTAATTTTAAAGGAGACAGTGGAAACGATTTTCTGAACAGTTTTATTTTATAAGTTCATATTCGGACATTCTGCTGCTCAAATTGAACAGAATATTAATTAAGGACATTAGAAGGGGTTCCTATGAAAGAACAATTTTTCGTCGGTTTGAAAAATATTCTTATAATAAACCAACCATGCGGAATACTTTCAAGATAAATCAATGAACATTTTATGGAAGCTGTTGAAAAAAGTCTTTCAATAACTTGCTTCTTCATGTTAGTGAAACGAACGCATTATAACTTGTTTTGCTGAAATAAAACAGGATAAAACGAAAGAAAACAGACTAGCACTGAAGATTGCAAGAATCCGAAAAGCTCCAACAGGCCAAAACGGTGAGGACATGAAAACTAAAATGATCGGAAACATCCAAACTGCAGGGTTATCTTAAGAATCGTAACATTTAATCGGAAATGTTACAAAATTGAAACATCCAGATAGTTGTGAACGTAAAAAAATCGTTGTCCAATAATTTTAACGGTAGTATGCCAAAAATTGATCGAGCCTTCAACATTTTATAATTTATATTATCTACACATTAATTATTTTCTATTGAATCTTAATTATCTATTTTTATAAGCAAATATAGATAAAGGGGGGATAAATGGACACACAAACAGTGAAAATACGAAACTATCGAATCTTTTTATCACATGTTACTCCATCGAATGTTTACTGTGCCTTTTACCACATATGTATTTCTTAAACGAAATATTGTATGTACTTTAACTTTACATAATTTGTCTTATTTAATTTGGAGTTTTAAATTCTTCAATAAAATGATTTCAAGTTTGAAGTGGTGATTTAAAGGTTTATTACGATCTTTGTGTGGATCCCCTCACAGGAAGCAACTCGTGGCACTCACGAGTGTG